CATAGTCATAGTCATCAACCTAACCTCACTGAACTATGAATCACAGCCACAGTCATAGTCATTAACCTAACCCAAGTGAACTTTTAGTCATTTTCATCAACTTGACTGTGACTTTTTTATTTATTAAAAAAAATAATCCTATCTTTTGATATGGCCTATAAATGTCATTCTTTGGCGTTCTATAAATTACTTATAATTTATAGATTTTTTTTTTATTTCCTCCTATAACAAATGACGCAAGTCTGCAAATTTTTTTTTTTAATTCATCCAAACTTCCGATAATGTTATTCATCGTTATAATTTACACTCAAAATGAGATTATTTTTTTCCTTTTTTTCTTTTTTGTTTTGAATGTCTGGATTTTGTCGAATGTTGATGATTATTATCATTATGATGATGATGATGGTAATAATTTTCATAATAGAAAATATAATGCCTAATAAGGATTATATTCTCTCTTTCTTTCTATGTTTTTGGAATTTCATTCATTTCGATCAAATGATCATCATCATCATTAAGTTTCAATTGCGTGTTTGTTTTGTTTTGTTGTTTATCTGTTTTTTTCTGTAATGTAATTTTGTTTAACCGGAATAATGATCATCATTTTGAATTGAATGATTTTTTGTTTGTTTTGGTTTTGTTTTGATACACAAATGCTATAGATAACATAACATAACATCATTATTTTGATCTTTACAACGAATTTTGTGGTCAATTCAATCGAGTAATTGCATGATTTTCGTGACCTTTGACCATTGATTTGTTTTTATTTTCCAGTAATGTTGATTAAATTCAGTAGCTAGTATGTGTGTGTTTAACGGTTTTTTTTCTGGTTAAATGATATGATGACATGAAACAAATAGATCATTGACCATAAGATCATACTAATTCTTTTCTTTCGTTTTGTTTTTGTTTTCTCATTTTACCATTTTCCTTATAGATAAAGATGATATTGTTCGACAACGAATCATAACACATATAAAAGATGTAAATGATGAAAAACCATATTTCATAAATCGTCCATTACCAATGCAAGCAGTTGTACAATTGAATGCAAAACCAGGAGAATCAGTTTATAAGCTGCAAGCACGTGATCCTGATACTGATCATAATATACATTATTTTTTGGTACGTGATCGAACGGGTGGTCGTTTTGAAGTTGATGAACGAACAGGTGAAGTTCGTGTAAAAAGTTATGAACCATTTATGTTGGATAAAGAATATGTTATCTATGTTAAAGCTGAAGATCATAATGGTCCAACTGGTGATCGTACATTTCAATCAACCGAAGAAGCACGATTGTCGATTATGGGTGGTAAACGTGCACCACAATTTTATATGCCACATTATGAAACAACTATACCGGAAAATCAACGAAAAGATTCGGATATTATTGAAGTGAAAGCAAAATCATTTGCTGAAAGACAAATCCGTTATACATTGAAAACACAAGGTAGTGCCGGTTCAGGTACATTCAATATTGAACCAACTAGTGGTATTGTTAAATTGGCTAAAGAATTGGATTATGAAGAACTTCGGCAACCAAAAACATATAATCTAATTGTAACAGCTACGGAAGATTCAGGTGGATTTTCAACATCAGTTGAATTAACCATAAAAGTTACCGATGTTAATGATAATGCACCACGGTTTGAATTACCGGATTACCAGGCACATAATATTGATGAAGATATTAATATTGGTACATCAATACTACAAGTATCGGCTACTGATCAAGATACAGGAAAAAATGCTGAAATTGTTTATACTGTTGATCGTGATGATTTTGTTATCGATTCAAAAGGAATTATTCGTTCAAATAAACGTCTGGATGCTGATATGAATAATACATATGTATTTACAGTACGTGCAACTGATAAAGGTGATCCACCGTTAACCGGTACAGCAACTGTACGTGTTTATACGGAAAATAAAAATGATGAATCACCAAAATTTTCACAAGATGTTTATACACCAAATGTTGATGAAAATGCTGGCCCAGATACATTGGTCACTACTGTTGTGGCTAGTGATAAAGATGGTGATGGAATTTTGTTTGGTTTTGTTGGTGGTGGTACTACATCGGGAATGTTTACTATTGAAGAACGAACAGGTGTTATACGATTAACATCCGGTAATATTGAATTAGATAAAGATAAATATGAATTAAATGTAACGGCACGTGATGATGGTTCGTGTTGTCGTAATGGTGCACGTACTATTCATACAAGTACAGCTTTAGTTGTTGTTTTCATTACCGATGTTAATGATAATAAACCAGTATTTGATGAATGTAATTCATATGAACCAAAAGTTGAAGAAGGTGCTGCAAGTGGTACACATGTTATAACGGTAAAAGCTACTGATCAAGATAAAGGACATAATGGCCAAGTTCGTTATTCAATTGTACAACAACCAAATCAAAAAGGAACAAAATTTGTTGTCGATGAAATTACTGGTGAAGTGAAAACAAATAAAGTTTTTGATCGTGAAGGTGATGATGGTCGTTTTGTATCGGTTACTGTTAAAGCTACTGATCGTGGTTCACCACCATTAGAAGGTGTTTGTTCATTTAAGGTATGTTTGTTTGTTTGTTTGTTGTTGATAAAATGAATTTCAAATAAATAATCAAAAATGTTTTTTTTCAGGTTGAAATTACCGATATAAATGATAATCCACCATTATTTGATCGACAAGAATATAAAGAATATGTTCGTCAAGATACAGCATTAGGTACAAATATTTTACGTGTTTCAGCATCGGATGAAGATGCCGATATGAATGGTATTATCACTTATAATCTAACGGCATTAGATCGTCATTCAGATTTAAGTTATTTTCGTATAAATCCTGAATCTGGTTGGATTAGTCTTTCACGGCCATTAGATGGTGATCATTATTCAATGCGTGCAATTGCAACGGATAATGGTTATCCACAACATCGTGCAACTGTAGATATTTCCATTGATGTTGTTGATCGTGCTAATAATCCACCAATTTGGGATAAACCTGAATATGGACCAATACGGATACCGGAAAATGTTCCAATTGGACATAAAGTTATATCGATTAAAGCCCGATCTGGAATACCGGATAATCCTACTGTTTTCTATACGCTGATGAAAGGTGGTACCGAACAAACAAATAAAAAAGATACATTCTATGTTATACAAAGTCCGGGTGAAGGTGATGAAATATGGGCCGATATTTGTGTTAATCAACCATTAGATTTTGAAAAAATTAATCAATATAACCTGACTGTTCGTGTACAGAATAATGGTGTACAACAACTAGGATCGGAAGCTACTGTTCACATTTATCTTATGGATGTTAATGATGAAATACCATTGTTTATTGAAAAAGAACAGGAAACTGTTTTGGAAGGAATGCCACCCGGTACAAAAGTTACACAAGTTGAAGCTATCGATAAAGATGGTACACCACCATTCAATAAAGTTTTCTATTCAATTATGCCAAAAGGTAGTGATACAAATATACCGTTTAAAATTGATCGTGAAACGGGTGAAATATTTACAAATATTGAATTTGATCGTGAAGAAAAACAAGCATATGCTATTCTGGTTCGTGCTGAAGATGGTGCACCATCAGCTCGACCGAATATGAAAAATAATGAACCAAATTATGGTAAATTTTTTTAATGATGATAATTTGATTACAAAATTTCTAAACATTTTTCATTTTTTCCTTTATTTTATACAGTTACCAAATATATTCGTATTGCTATCGGTGATAAAAATGATAATCCACCTTATTTTGATCAAGCATTATATGATGCTGAAGTTAATGAAGATGAAGATATTCATCATACAGTTATTACTGTTACGGCTAAAGATAAAGATGAATGTAAGTTTTTTTCGAATGTTATTTTTGTTGAAAATCTCACTGATTTTTTCTTTCTTCATTTAAAAATGTATAGCATCAAAAATTCGTTATGAAATTACACGTGGTAATCATGGTGGTGCATTTGCTGTGAAAAATGAAACCGGTGCCATTTATGTTGCCGGTCCATTAGATTATGAATCACGGAAAGAGGTTCGACTTTCATTTTAATCCATATTTTTTACTTTTACTTTTCTTTCCTTTATTTTCATTCGGTTATGCAATTTGCAAATTTTGTTTTGTTTTTGGTAGAATAGATTGAATTAATCCATTGATAATAACTGATATTAATTAATTAATTTATTACAGTACAAATTACGTTTGGTTGCATCAGATAATTTAAATGAAAATTTTACACATGTTGTTATACATGTAAATGATGTTAATGATAATCCACCAATATTTGATCGGCCAACATATGAAACACAGATTACTGAAGAAGATGATCGAATGTTACCAAAACGAGTGTTACAGGTTATGAATATAAAACATTCAAATTTTAAAATGAAAAAAGTGTAAATTATCATCAATATGATTGGTTAGCTTCGTTTGAGTTTTGCAAATTGCCCTTCGTCTATTGTTTTTTCCTTTTGTTTTTTCCTGTGAATTTTTTCCTAAAATAGGATTTTTTTTATGTTAATTTTTTGTTTTTTCCCCTTTTTTTTTGTATATAGTATAATCTGACCCTAGTTGCATCGGATACATTGCACGAAAATTCCACTCAAGTTCGTTTATTCATTAAAGATATTAATGATTTACCACCAAAATTTGAAAAAAGTTCCTATGAAACAACAATACTTGAAGAAGATGATCAAGATTTACCCAAAATGATACTTAAGGTAAAACCCAATATACCATTAGTGTTTTTCAACCAAAAATTTCTTTAACACGCCATACGCTAACCAATTTATTGATGGAAATTGACGCTTTTTAATTGATTTGTTCCTTAATTAAGAATAACCCTTTAATAACCGAAATTCTTTTCAATTTTTAGGTCACTGCAACCGATGGTGATCGTGATCGTCCTCAGGCAATTGTATATTTCTTGACCGGTCAAGGAATTGATGATAAAAATCCACGTAATAGTAAATTTTCAATCAATTCTACAACTGGTGAAATTTATGTGCTGAAACCATTGGATCGTGATCTACCAACTGGTCGTTCACAATGGCGTTTTACTGTATTTGCTGAAGATGAAGGTGGTAATGGTTTGGTTGGTTATGCTGATGTATTGGTCAATCTAAGGGATATCAATGATAATGCACCATTTTTTCCACAATCAAGATATGAAGGAAATGTTACTGAAAATGGTACAGCCGATATGACAGTTATGACCATGACAGCTGTTGATTATGATGATCCGAACGAAGGATCGAATGCACGTTTGAAATATGCAATCGAACAAAATCCAGTTAATGAACGTGGTGAATTGATATTTAAAATTGATGAAGATACTGGTACAATTTCAACATTGGTTTGTTGTTTAGATCGTGAACAAAACCCGGAATATGTTATAAAAGTAGTGGCTACTGATGGTGGTGGTCTGAAAGGAACCGGTTCAGCAACGATAAAAATACGTGATATTAATGATATGCCACCAGAATTTACTAAAAAAGAATGGAGCGTAGAAGTTGATGAAACTGATGGTGAAATGTTACCGGAAAATCCAATCCTAGTTGTTTCGGTTAATGATCAAGATTTACTTGAAACAAATCGTTTTAGCTATCGTGTACTCGAAAATTCAGTTGGTGCTGATAAATTTACAATGGTTACTAATTCAGATGGTACCGGATCGTTAAAAGTTGCTAAACCATTAGATTATGAAGATTATCAACAACGTTATGGTTTTAATATTACCATACAAGTTAGTGATAGTGGTGAAAGTTCTGAATCATATCATGTTGATTATGCAAAAGTTTATATCCGATTACGAGATATTAATGATAATAAACCAGAATTTAAGGAAACAAATTTGGATGTTACCGTACAAGAAGATGCTAATATTGGAACACCGTTAGCAACATTTGTTGCACATGATGCTGATCAAGGTGGAAAATCAAGAGTTAGTTATGCTATTGATCGATCATCGGATAAAAAACGTCAATTTGTTATTGGACAAGATGGTGTTGTTAAAACACAACGAATGTTGGATCGTGAAGATACACCAAGGCATCATGTAAAAATTTTGGCTATTGATGATGGTATCCCTGCACGAACAGCTACTACAACATTGACGGTGATTGTTGTCGATGTTAATGATAATGCACCAAGATTTCTAAAAGATTATCGTCCAGTAATTATGGAACATCAAGGACCAACAAAAGTTGAAGAAATTCTTGCCACTGATGATGATGATCGTTCACGAAATAATGGTCCACCATTTACATTTCGTTTATCGAAAGATGCATCCGATACAATCAAAGAATATTTTGATGTACATCAAGATCATAAAGGTGCTAATGGTGATGGTATGGCTATTGTAACATCGAAAAAAGAATTTGATCGTGAAATTCAAAAAGAATACCTAGTACCGATTGTTATTAAAGATAGTGGTTATCCATCAAAATCTGGTACATCAACATTAACTGTTATTATTGGTGATATTAATGATAATCGTATGTATCCGGGTAGTAAAAATATTTTCGTATATAATTTTTTGGGACAATCACCACCAACACCTATTGGTAGAGTTCATGTTGAAGATTTGGATGATTGGGATCTGCCGGATAAATCATTTATATGGGATGGTGGTATTGCACATCCATTATTCGATCTGAATACTGATGATGGTATGATAACAATGAAAAATGTTACGAATGGTGAATATTTTCTACGATTTAATGTTCATGATCGTAAACATACACAAAATGTTCCGGCTAATGTTACGGTTGTTGTACGTGAACTACCTGAAGAAGCTGTTTATAATTCTGGTTCGATTCGTGTTAGTGGTATAACGGCTGAAGATTTTATTCGGGTTTGGTTTCCACATCGGCAAAAACAAGAAAAAAGTAAATATGAAAAATTTAAAGATGTTCTAGCTCGAATACTTAAAGTACAACGTGAAAATTTGGATGTATTCAGTGTTATAACACGTTCAGAACGACCACCAATAACAGATATTCGGTTTTCAGCACATGGTTCACCTTATTTAAAATCAGTATTTTTGGATGGTGCTGTAACATTGAATCGAAAAGTAATTGAACATCAAGTTGGTATTAATATTACTATGGTCGGTATTGATGAATGTTTAGTGGAAAATCTAAATTGTGAAGGTTCAAGTTGTACAAATGTTCTGGAAATTTATCCACAACCAATATTTGTTAATGCAAATCGTACATCGTTTGTCGGAGTGAATGTTGGTGTTCGTCCAAAATGTACATGTGGTCCAAGAGATTTTGATGAAACTGAAACATGTCGAAAAATGCCACCACATTGTTTGAATGGTGGCCGTTGTTCGGATTCATTAGTTGGTGCATTATGTACATGTCCACGTGGTTATTCGGGTCCACGTTGTGAAATGCCTTCACGTACATTCCATGGTGATGGTTGGGCATGGTATCCACCATTACAAGTTTGTTCTGATTCACATTTATCAATTGAATTTATGACCCGTACACCAAACGGTCTGCTTTTCTATAATGGTCCAATGGGTGAACCAATCGAAGGAGAATATAAAATTACCGACTTTATTTCATTGGAATTGAATCGTGGTAATCCAAGATTATTGATTGATTTTGGTTCCGGTACGGCTGAATTAACTGTTCATCCAATTGGTGATCTACATGATGGTGAATGGCATCGTATTGATTTATTTTGGTCACGTGAAACGGCAAGAATTTTAGTTGATAAATGTGCTGGCATACCATTCAATGATGATGATCTGATGCGTGTTGATCGTTCACGTTGTGAAAATATTACACAAATTGTTGGATTTAATGAATTTCTTAATCTAAATAGTCCATTACAAGTTGGTGGTTTATATCAAAAACTTTCATCATCCAGTGGTGGTAGTGGTGCAGGAATATCACATTCATTAGCCAATTCAAATTATTATAATCTTCCATCAAAAACTGGATTTAATGGTTGCATCAGGAATCTAATACATAATAGTGTTATGTATGATCTTGGTTCACCGGGTTCATATTCAAATTCTGAACCTGGTTGTCAAATATCGGAAGAATTATGTAAAGCAAATTCAATATATGGTCGTTGTACTAATGGTGAATGTCAAGCAAGTTTTAATTCAGCACGGTGTTTATGTGAACCAGGTTGGACTGGTCCGAATTGTGATCGTGAAACAATGTCAAAAATGTTTCAAACAAATAGCTATATTAAATATGCAATATCATTTGATCCGGATCCTTATCGTAATGAAATTCAGCTACAATTTCGAACAAGGCAAAAAAATGGTGAACTATTTCGTGTAGCCAGCAAACATTATCGTGAATATTGGATTCTAGAAATTAAAGATAAAAAATTACGTTTCCGTTTTAATTTGAATAATTTGGAAGAACGTGAATTATGGTTGCCATTTGTTTCGGTTTCGGATGGTCAATGGCATACGGTAAAAGTTCAACGTTATGGTTCAACTGCTGCTATTGCATTGGATGGTGGTGGTGGTCGTCGTTTTAATGAAATTACTGAATATGAAGGCTTGCATCAATTGTTGTTGGTTGATAAACAAAATGTTATGGCCGGTGGTTTTGCACAGATTGTTGGTCCATCACAATATATTGTTGATTTTGATTATGTTGAAGGTAAATGTGATGATGATTGATTGAATCAGAAATTTTAATTCAAAATGTATTATACAACAGGCTGTTTGGCTGATATACGTTTAGATGGCCGTCCTTTACCAATGGAAAATGGATCGGAAAATGCATTTGTTGTTGAAGCTCGTAATATAATTACTGGTTGTCCATCAAATAATCCATGTGAAGGAATACATTGTAATCATCCATTTGAATGTATTGATTTATGGAATCTACATGAATGCAGGTATGTTTTTTTTAATGAATGTGTTTTTAATCAAATCAATTCTATCTGTATAATCTATTGAATTAATCCATCTTGATTTCTTTCTCTCTTTCTGTGTTTGTCGTCTTTGTTAACTATTTTTAACTTTCACTTTTCCACTTTACTGCTAACCAATTTCACACTGTATTCTGTGTTCACTGTTCACTGTCCATTGAAAATGAAAACAAAAAAGATGTCCACTTGGTTTTCGTACAACTGGTGATGGAAAAAATTGTACCGATTTGAATGAATGTTATCCATTAAATCCATGTCTTAATGGTGGTACTTGTTTTAATTTACCTGAAGGACGTGGATTTCATTGTCAATGTTTACCACATTATTCCGGTCAATATTGTAATGCTCAACGTATTGGAAAAGAGCTTCAATTAAGCAATTCAGCATTGATTATCATATTAATATTATCATTTAATTTTATCAGTATGTTTTTTTCATTCATTTTTCAATCAAATTTCGATCTCCGAAATCTCCGAAATCTCTCTCTCTCTCTTTACATAGCAATGTGTGTGTCTTGTTTTTCATGTCGTTTCCTTCTTTTTTTTCATATTTCCTAATTGTTTCTTCTAAAATGTGTTTCGCTTCTGAAAATTATCATCAAAAATACCCCCTCAAAAAAACTATATTTAATGAATTTTTGATTTCCCCTCCCCTCGAATGAAATTAGCTGCCCAAATGGATTTCAAATGACAGCAAATCGTTTAAGCTGTGAAGATCGTAATGAATGTGAATGGCATCCATGTGGTCGTGGTGGTCATTGTTTTAATTTACCATATGGACAAGGATTTTCTTGTGAATGTCCATTAGAAGGATTTCGTTGTGATAATTGTAGCTGTGAAGAAGGACCATTATTACGTCGTGGTAAAGCAGCTGTTGGTTTAGGAATGGATGCATTACTCATAATTCTACTTTGTGTTATTTTTTATTCAAGTAAGATAATGACTCCGCACACACACCACTGCTATTTTGAGAGAGAGAGATTGATCAAATCGGAGGGAGATTTTTATTTTGTTTAATTCATTTTAATTTGATTTAAATTTTCATTTGTTTTTTCCCCCCCCCATACACAGTTTTGATTGCTGCCTTTTTAATTTATAAACGAAGTAAACGACCACATCAAAAATTTGGACATGATGTTGATGATGATGTTCGTGAAAATATTATCAGTTATGATGATGAAGGTGGTGGTGAAGATGATATGAATGCATATGATATAACACCATTACGTATACCGATTGATCCAACTGGTCAAACAATACCGGGAAAACCAACAATGATTCGAGATATGCGTCATCACCGTCAATGTAAGAGATGTTTTTTTTTTCATTCATGACATTTACGTTATTAAACGTTTTTTTTTCTGCATTAGTTCCATCTGATGGTGGCCATCCTGATGTTGGTGAATTGATACGGGAAAATCTGGAAAAAGCTGATACCGATCCTAATGCACCACCATTTGATGATTTACGTAATTATGCATATGAAGGTTGTGGTAGTACAGCTGGTTCATTAAGTTCATTAGCATCAGCTATGGATGATAATGAACAAGATTTTGATTATTTGAATCGTTGGGGACCAAGATTTCAAAATTTAGCTGTTATGTATGTACAAGGTGAAAGTGAAGAAGAATAATGAATTTTTCAAACAAACAACAACAACAACGATGCAATAGAAAATGTAAAAATCAAAAACAACGGAAAACTTGCAATCATTTGCATTCTATATTTTGCTCAATCTCAACAAACAACAACTTTTGTGTAATCAATCAATCGATTTTTTGGATAATTTTTTTTGATCTCAACTAATTTTCTCGCTGGACGTCGACTTTTTTTACAAAATTTTAACATTTTCTTTTCTTTATATAATAATATTCTATACAAATATCATCGACATTCCATCAGATTGACATTTTTTTAAAAACCTAAAAATTTAGTTTTCACATTTTTTTTTTGTAAACATCAATCAACCAAAACAACAACATTAATCTCTTTCATTGATGTAAATTGTGCCAACAACCATTTTTTTTCTTCGACGAATTTAACACTCATCAGTATTTCGATTATTTTAACACCAATTTCCAAAGAAATCTTTTTTCTTCTGATTGATTCCCCGAACAACAACAACAATTTCAATTGTCAGCTGCTACTTTCTTGTAATTTGTATAAAAAATATAGAATTTTCTTTTGCTTATTTTCATTCAGTGATATTCCTTCCTTGTTAAATATTTAGTAGTGTTTTTTTTCTTTCTTTTATCACTTTTTTCATCTCATTTCTAATGCAGCCAAAATTCATTTACAGCTACACATTTTTTGTATGATTCACACATAATTTGATTTTGCTTTTTTAATTTTTAATTTGAAAAAAATGTATCAACAGAAAAACTGCCAACAACATTGTTATATCACATTACCATTATCAACGACAACAGTAACAAACATTATTATTATTTAACTGGATTTATATAAATAGAAAATTACAATTTTAGTTCAAAACAAATCAACGAAACAACGAAATTCACTTTTTTTTGGAAAGAAACTAGTCAATATTGAAATTATCATGTTTTCTTTCTTTCTTTAACCACATTTTTCCATTGATAATTGTCAAATATGATAAACATTCGATCACTTACATTTCATTCAATTTATATATTATATACACTGATGATTATATAATTTTTTTTCCATTTGAAATCGAAAAAAAACACCAAAACAAAACAAAAGCAAATCGATAAATTCTTTTTTTCGACACATTTTCTGATTGTATATATAACCACATATAACCAATCCTTTTTGTCATCATTATTCGATTATCATTAATAAACAAAACAAAAAAAAATTTCATAATTTATTTGAAGAAAAAAAAAGTTGATTGATTGATTGATTGATTGATAAAAGTTTGATTTTCAAATATCGATTTTTTTTTTGGGTTGATCGTTTTCAACGCGCGAATCTTCGATCGAACATTTTTTTTTTGATTAATTCATATTCGAACACCGCATGCGCGTAAACGAGAAGGAAAAAAAAAATTCGTTCGATGTTGTTGTTGTTGTCGTTGTCGTCGTCAAATATCCATCGATCCTTGTCTGTTTACCACCACTCTGCTGTTTATGTGTTTGTTTTGGAGAATTTTTGGCGAGTTTTTCATCTTGTTTTGTTTTTCGTTTCTGGGTTGTTTTTGTTTCAGCAAAAAAGAGCTAANAAAAAATGTATCAACAGAAAAACTGCCAACAACATTGTTATATCACATTACCATTATCAACGACAACAGTAACAAACATTATTATTATTTAACTGGATTTATATAAATAGAAAATTACAATTTAGTTCAAATCAAGAAAACAAATCAACGAAATTCACTTTTTCTCGCTTTTTTGGAAAGAAACTAGTCAAATTATCATGTTTTCTTTCTTTCTTTAACCATTTTTTTCGTTCATTGATAATTGTCAAATATGATAAACATTCGATAAACAACATTTACACTTACATTTCATTCAATTTATATATTATACACTGATGATTATATAATTTTTTTTTCCATTTGAAATCGAAAAAAACAAAAACAAATCGATAAATTCTTTTTTTTGACACATTTTCTGATTGTATATATAACCACATATAACCAATCCTTTTTTCATCATTATTCGATTATCATTATATATGATTAATAAACAAAACAAAAAAAAATTCATAATTTATTTGAATAGAAAAAAGTTGATTGATTGATTGATAAAAGTTATTGATTTCCAATATCGATTTTTTTGGTTGATCGTGTTTTCAGCGCGCGAATGTTCTTCGATCGAACATTTTTTTGATCAAAATTCATATTCGAACACCGCATGCGTAAACGAGAAGGAAAAAAGATTCGTTCGATGTTGTTGTTGTTGTCGTTGTCGTCGTCAAATATCCATCGATCCTTGTCTGTTTNCAATCTTTTACACTCTTTATTTTTTCAAAATAAAAGTGTTTTTTTTTCACTTTCACATTGGAATTATCGTTGAATTTTTTGTTCTCTGTCTCAGAGTGTTAAATTAGTTAGTTAAGGCGGCTTTTTGTTGGTGTTAGGGTGATGTGTTTTAGTGAGCGAAAACAAGAGAATCATCATCCAGAGTTTTTCGATCATTCTCGATATTCATTGTTATTTATTATCGTAATTTAATAGCCTCTGTGAGAGAAGGTTGTACTGTGTGATTTTGTGCCTAATTTTTCTTCAAATTTGCTGTTTTTCGTCGGTTTTGTTGGTGTTTGGTGGGTGTGTCAACGATAGAGCAGAGATGGATGAAGATTGGAACGCAGATTCACATATCCAAAATCAAAATGTATCTCCGGGACTCGAAAATCTGGATCTTGAAAACAACACAAACGAGTGCTCGAGAGTATACAACCGAATCTCTTTTTCCAACGGTCGTGTGACTGGTGGCGACGCTACGCAAAATAGTGCAGAAACGAACGGTGAAAGTGGACAATTGTCAATTTCGTTTGAAGTGGTTTTGGAAAGTATTGATCAATCGGAAAAAAATGCTTGGATAAATCAACTAGTAATGGCTGTAATCAATAGATTTGGTGGACGAATTCCTAGAGGAGGTTGGCGAATGGTTCATCGAGTTTTCAACGATAAATTCCAATGTAATGAATCTGAACAACAAATCAAAAATATATATAATCGTATAAAATCCTCTTTGGGAACAAATAATTCGAATCAAGATGTGATGGCGAGTACAAATAATCATGGAAATATACCGGAGATAAAAAATGTTCAATTATACAAGGAAATCTGTCTAAAACTAAATTCGAATGTGATCAAATTCAACGAACAAAACGATGCTAAAGAAAGAACTGCAAAAGTATATAGTGAATCGATGAACAATGAAATCATTGATATGATCAATATAGCAATCCGTGAATCATCTATTGATGGCAGGACGAATTCGCTGAAAGACATCAATAATGTGTTGTATGCTTGCCAAAAGACATACGAAGAAGTGACTGCCAAAAAGAAAAACGTGGTGCCTTGGAAAGAGTCGATTGAAAAGAAAATTGAACAACTAGAAATGGACTTGAATCATCTTAAACAATTCGATCAGAATAAATGTCCGTCAAAAGAAGTCAAAAGAATTTGTAATAAATATCGAATACATTCAAATCGAGCCCAAAGTGTAGAGATTCTGTGTGATCAAATGTTCGAAAAAGTGGCCAGACATAAAAAACGATTATGGATTTCAGAAAATAGAAAGCTATTTAAGAAGAATAATCGAAATTTTGAATTTAATCGTAAACGCTTTTATAGGGAAGTTGAAGGTGAAAAGCTCAAAGTCGATGAAAGCATAGACAAAGAGCAGACTGTCGAATTTTGGCGTGATTTGTGGTCAGGTGGTGATGAACCACAGTATCAAGAGATGCTATCCTTTATTGAACCGATCTTGTTGAACGTGGATCAAGAAGATGATGATTTAAACAAAATTATTGAAAATACAATAAAACACTTGCCTTCGTGGAAAACACCTGGACATGACTATGTTTATAATTTTTTCATCAAAAGAATGACGTCTCTCCATCCTAAATTGTATTTATTGATTCGGGAAGCAATCAAAAATCCAGATATGATTGATATTGAATTTTATAAAGGTACAACATATCTGATAGCCAAAAAAGATAATGCAATTTCGCCAAAGGAGTTGAGACCTATCACATGTTTACCCAACTTGTACAAATTAATAAGTAAGGTCGCGACAACATTAATGGGACGAGTTTGTGACCTCAATGATGTTTTATCTGATAATCAAATGGGAACAAAAAAAAGATGCCAAGGTGCCAAGCAACAGGCCCTTATTAATAAGAATTTAAATATGTCCAATGAATACAATCTCAAGACTAGTTGGATTGATATCCAGAAGGCATATGATTCAATTGATCACAATTATTTGATAGAATTGCTAAAGAAATTGCAAATTCCTGACAACCTGATTAAGTTTGTACAACGAATGCTGCAAAATCAAAATACCGATCTCATACTGAATAAAGAACAAATTGGTGAAGCAAAAATCGATAAAGGAGTCTTACAGGGGGACGCATTGTCTCCCTTATTATTCGTACTATCAATGGAACCTATTAGCCGCAGAATCAATAGATATTGTGAAAAGATCCGAGTGCCAAATACCAATTTGGAAAGAAACCATTTGATTTTTATTGATGATATTAAGGTATTTGCTAGAGACGATCAGAGCCTCAAAGAAATTTGTTGGTATGTCAGTGATTCGTTGGAGAAATTAGGACTAAAGATAAATCAACAGAAATCGGCGAGTAATATCGAAAGTGCCCAGGTGTTCGGTGATATGTTGGATGATGAAAAGGGGTATAAATATCTCGGTATCTTGGAAGATTCTAGAAATATGATCAAAGAAGAGAATAAACAAATAATTATCAACAAAATGGTGCAACGAATCAAGAAATTGTGTGAAACGAAGCTTAACGGCCGTAATCTTTTCCACGCTATAAATGAATTTGCCCTCTCAACAGCCAATTATTACATTGGAATAATCAATTTCGAGCCAGAAGATTACGTTCGTCTGGATGTAAACATAAGAAAAATTCTTAAAGAATATTCTGTCATCAGAAATTCTTCCAATATTGACAGATTATATTTACCAAGGAATGAACTCGGACGAGGACTTGGTAACATGGCTGAAAAATCGGAGCTGATGCTCTTTAATCTGAATGAATATCTATTGAATAGCATAAATTATAAAGCAATAATTGAATCCGAAAAAGCACAAGCAACTCACCTCGGCACAATAAAAGAATTCATTTGCCGGACATATGATATACCCGAAGAATTGCTGTGTTGGGATATGATTAAAAACAAACAGAAACAACGGCGAATGAATCGAATCAATGAAAAAGCTCTTCATAAAATTGTCTTTCAAAATGATGATGGGTATATAGACATTCGACAGTCGTCATTATGGCTTAGTAAAGGGAATGTATCGCCGCAAGAGGAAGGTATGATGTGCAAGCTTCAAGATCGCAATTTGTTCTGGAAGAAAAATAAGTGTCCTCATTGTAAACGGGCGACAGCGACTGTTGATCACTTGGCAACACATTGTGGTGGACTACTAAATTTTGATTACAAAAAGCGCCATAACGATGTTGTAAGGTGCATACATATGATGTTCGCCAAAAAATATGGGATTACTAATCAGAAACGACTTAAGAATTATCGGGTTGAAAATGTGGTATCTAATGAGCGTGTAAGGATTAAGTCGGATACTCCCATCTTAACGGATAACCGAATTGACCACAACAAGCCTGACTTGTTAGTTCATGATCTAAAGACAAATGATATATGGCTAATAGAAGTAGGCATCACCAACAAGAACATTTTGCCGAATACTGAAATAACCAAATCGAGAAAATATGAAATGTTATCCAATGAATTGAAGACCACCTTCAAAGCAAATGTACATATCATACCTATCGTAATCACCTGGGATGGTTTGGTCACCAATTATCACAAAAAACATCTAAAGAAGATAGAAGTTTCAACAAACATTCAAGCATTTATACAAACTCAAGTCTTGAAAAGGACTTGGGAGAGTATAAGAGTTGATCTACGTGAAGATATATTGGACGTCGAATACGGCCAGATGGAGGTGTGATCCTGGCGACGTGGTTAGAAGCTTTGTTTTGTTTAATTGACCACTTATTTTGTAATTTTGTAATTATGATTGCTATATGCCTATTTTGTTTCATATATAAATATTGTAAATTAAGGCTTTCCTTTTGTATTTGAATATTGAATAAAATAAAATTTAAGTTCATTAATTGAATTTCGTTAATTAATTAAATAAATTACAAAAAGATCAAAAACAAAAGAAATAATTACAAAAAAAAGAACAAAAATAATTACAAAACAGCAATTTTTTGGCTATATAAAAAAAATCAAATTTTTTTTGTTGTTGTTGCTGTGGGAAAACATTTCCGTGGTAACAACAACAACAACGAAATAACAAAAAAAAAAAATAGAAATAAAGTTAATTATCCAATTTTGTAATGAATAATTAATTCATTACAAAATTGATGATGATGATGATAATAATTTGTATTTTATCACACACATACAGTTTTCCGATTCTTAAATGATGATAATAATATTTTTATTTTTAATTTGATTTGATTTTGGTAAATCTTATCGAATGATCATTATTATCAAATTATATGATGGTTATAAATCCGGCCCGAAAAATGATTCTTCTTGTTTGATTCTTGTCTGATTTTTGAGCCGGTTATTGTNGACACATTTTCTGATTGTATATATAACCACATATAACCAATCCTTTTTGTCATCATTATTCGATTATCATTAATAAACAAAACAAAAAAAAATTTCATAATTTATTTGAAGAAAAAAAAAGTTGATTGATTGATTGATTGATTGATAAAAGTTTGATTTTCAAATATCGATTTTTTTTTTGGGTTGATCGTTTTCAACGCGCGAATCTTCGATCGAACATTTTTTTTTTGATTAATTCATATTCGAACACCGCATGCGCGTAAACGAGAAGGAAAAAAAAAATTCGTTCGATGTTGTTGTTGTTGTCGTTGTCGTCGTCAAATATCCATCGATCCTTGTCTGTTTACCACCACTCTGCTGTTTATGTGTTTGTTTTGGAGAATTTTTGGCGAGTTTTTCATCTTGTTTTGTTTTTCGTTTCTGGGTTGTTTTTGTTTCAGCAAAAAAGAGCTAATTCCTGTAACTAGAATTTCATTTTTTCAAATCAAAAAATCAGTTTTTTTTCTTTGTATGTAAACAAAGTTTGACAATTGAAAATTTTATTCACATTTTGTTTGTCATCAGTGGTAAAACAAACGAAACAACAACAGCGATTCTATTCGTTTGTTCGTTTTTCAATCATAAACATTCATCCATATTTAAACCAAAAGCAAAAAACAACCTTGTAATCACGAATAATCCACTATAGTGAAATTAGAACGCTTTTTTGGCTAATGTTTTTCAATGTGTGTTTAAAAATCAAATGAAAAAAACTCCCCAGCTCATTTTTACCATAAGAAATTCAATCATCACATTCTGACAGTGATCATCATCGAATCGAATCCATTAAAAAACAACATTATTATTATTATTGTTAAACTAATGCTGAGTGAGCTTTCCTGATTGATTATAAACAACAACAAAGAATTATCCATATTTTTCAATTTTGGTGTGATTTTAATTCTTTTCGGGTGTTTACGGTGAATCTGGTGCCTCCTAATCAATCAGCATTTAATTGAAAAAACCATTATTAAACTTTTCTTTTCGAGAATTTTCAACAAAATTCAATCAATGTAAGTATAGGAAAAATCTTTCATTATTATCATTTTGTCCAAGTGATGTGATGTCATTGATTCATTCTCATTTCTAACATTCGAATCATTTTTTCATTCAAAAGATGGTAGCACTGCTGTTGTTGAAAAAAAATCTGAATTTTTTCATTGCAGAATGCCATCAAGATGTTTGTGTTTGAAATTTTTTTGGATTTTATAATCATATAACTTGCGTGTGCCAGATGGTATTATTGATTTTGTTACAAAACAAACAACAAAAAATTTGTCCTACCTTGATTGGCTTTGATAGCCTCTGGAGATTTTTTTTTCTCTATTTAAAATAGAAAATATGTTTTGAAGAAAACGTTGTTCGTTGTCGATGTTGATAATGATAAACTATGGCCCTCATTGATTTTTTTTTTCATTATCCACAATACTTTGTGTCCTAAATAAAATGGCCAAAATTTGATACTGTATTTGGAACAACAACAACAACAACAAAGCTACTTTGTTGTTGTTGTTGTTTAATCTTGTTTGTTTGTTGCTGTATTGATGTCATTCGCGATTGATAAAATCAATTTAATTCAAGAAAAAAAGAGGCTTTTTTCGTGTTCAAGTTTACAATGGTGGTGGTGATGATGATAAACATCAAAGATCCTTATCTTTATCATCGTCGAATTTTCGCTTTTTTAATTGTTGTTATTTAACACATTGGACATTATCCTTTGTTTTAATCAATTTTTTTTTTAATTTTAGGGGCATCTTTTTATTTTAACATTGATTTTTTTTTTGTTTTGTTTAACAGTTAAAAAACACAATGGTTAATTAATTATTCTTGTCCATCACCACAGCTTGGTGGTTGTGGCATATAATAATCATTATTATTATCACCAAATTGTCTTTGTCCAGGTTCAGGAACAGTTCCACCAATATTGACACCTAAACCAGGTACATTATATTGTGGCTGTTCCAATCCAGGTCGATGATATTGTGGTTGTTCCAATCCAGGTCGATGATATTGTGGTTCATTACCATATGGTGTATTATTCGGTGGTATTACACCCATACCATAATTGCTACTATCATTCGGTGGTATAACACCCATGCCATAGTTTCCATCATTATTTGGTTGATTATAAATCGGTACACCTCCGCCACCAAATGATCGTTGACCAGGTTCCGGTGGTTGTCCTGCATAAGAAGAATTGTTGTAACCACCACCACCATCATCATCACAACAACCAAAACAACCTGATTTGATTGATTTTTTTAATTAACAAACATTTATTTCACATCAAATAATAATAATCATTTTGGTTTGTTAGTAAAATAAATGTTTGTTAAGAAAAAAGTGTTGTTTGTGTTGATCATGATGATGGTCAAAGAAAAAATTATCAAAATTTAAACTTACCAGACATTTTTTTTCAATAAGTTTCAATCGATGGTTAAAAAAATAAGTAACGATAATGATGATGATTTGGAGAAATCTGTGGATGATTTGATCGTTGTGTCGAGGCTTTTTGTTTAATTTCTTTCTTTCTTCTGATCGATCTCTGATTGATCGACTTTTGTAGTTAATTTACCAATAAAAAAAGCTTGGATTACAAGCAAAAAAATAAGTAGAATGTTTCCATTTATAACAAACTACACCCCATTCAACACAACAAGTACATTACATTAATTTTTTTTTTCATTATTATTTACACGTAATGCAATATCATCATCATCATTGTTTTTTGTTTCGGATAATGTCACTATAGTTTCCATCGATCTAATCATGACTTTTTTCAATATTTCTTATCAATTCTAACACTTTAAGTGAGTGTTAAAAAAAACCCTGGCAATGGTAAATCCTTTTTCTATATTTATCTTGAATATTTAACAGGATCTTGAATGTTTGTTTGTTATAAGCAGACATTTTTTTCCATCAAAAAAAAAAATAATATGTAATCAATTTGCTTGGGTTGATATGGATGCTGTCAAAAAACAGGCAGGCACAGCAAACACAATTGAAATTTTTCAATCACCCAAAAAAACATATTTCGATTGATTCGATTTTGATTTTGATTGTTTTGTCAATTTAGATAGGATGTATGTATGTAATGAAATTGATGTGACTAAATATGGAAATCAAATGATTACGTGTGTGTGTTATACATTTCATTCCATAATTTCACTTTTATCACTCTTTTTATTTTGGTTGCTGTGTAAGGAACATTGCAATCTTTTTGGCTTGTTTGTATTGTTGCTGTGTGTGATGATGATGAACAACAGGATTTTCAATTTTTGTTGTTATTAAAACACCTGTAACACCTGTAATGATGATATTGATTAATTGAAATGGAAATTTTGAATGTTGATTCCGTTTTTTTTTTCTAATTCCCAGAAAATTTCCAAAGGAAAAATTTCCAGATAAAGAATTCAAGGTTTTCTTTTTTTTCCTGTTGAATAAATTTACATGTCCCTTGTTTGTTTGAATATTTCTTTGTCTCTCTATCTATGTGTTCCTAGCGACAACAACAACAATTATTTTCAAAAAAGTTCACACCTGACCATTATTATCATTGTGTGTGTCGAAATGGACGAAATAATATTTTGAATGAATGAATGTTTTGCACACCTTTTTTTTCATTTGATTGTCGTTTTGGTCGTCCGATTTTTCTGTCTGTTTGTTTGCATTTCATTTTTGGAACATGGTCAATATCGTGAATTGAGAATGAAATTTCCATATAATATTGTCATCATCATTATAATAATGTTGTTGTTGTTTGAACTTTTGAATAAAATTTTTGTTTTCAGGTGAAAACGAAAAGGAAACAATAATAAAAAAAACTATCATTTTTTTCTGTTTACCTGCAAAAAACCTTTTGAATCTTGAAAATATTGATTGATTGATCAATCACACCTTTATATTGGAGGCTTTTATATTTTTGGTAGAAAAAAAAGCGTTGAAACATCATTATTAACAATAAAAAATCTTGACATGATGTGTGTGTGTGTGTGGGCCATCTTTATCGGTTAATTTTATTGATCGTGAGTGAGTGTGAGAGGATATTTTATCGATTTAAGGATTAAATATTTCTTCTGAGTAGAAAAAAAATTAGATATTCATAATGTTTATATCCAATCAATCAACCAATAAATGATCAATATTTTTTTTTTTTTTTTTTTGTTACTTAATAAATCAAACATTTGAACATGTGTTTTTTGTGTGTAGTCATTATTTTGATTATAAAGATTTGGAAATCTTAAAAAAAATTCATAATTAATCGTGATTAAGTAATTATCTTTGATGATTATTTTATAACATATAATCATCAACCTAACCTCACTGAACTATGAATCACAGCCATAGTCATA